CCCGTGACACCACTTGACCGTTCTGACACAGTCTTCTCACCTACTCGTCTTTTCCCCTTCGTTATAAACTTGCCGTTATAACGGCGGTACCGACACTCCTCACGGTACGGGCCTATAGTAATAGCATCAACGAAAGATCCAGTTGTCATTTCTTGTTCCTTTTCAATTTATCGCCCAGCGTAAGCGTACTTCTCGCTTACGATACTACTAATTTTTACGCAATACTACTCGTCTGCCGCTATAAAATTCTTCCGAAAATGGAGTTTCATGATCTGTGGAATCTTGCATAGGTTTTAACTACTACTTCCTTATGTCGGGGATAATTTCTACCATTTTAAGAAATCACAAATTCACCCTATTGCTTGACAATAAAAATCTCTGGCCTTAAAGATTAAATCAATTTTCCTGTTGACCTTCATTTGTATTTTAGAAGCCTGCTTGCTTTAAGTATGCATACTTTGCTTTTCTTTCTTGCCATATTATATCTGGTATACGACAAGTACATTAACAAGGTTGAGAATTCTGTAGTATTATATCATTAAAAATGTCTTTCCATGCTTTAATATCAACTAGATATAAAATAAACTCTAACTTATGACGCGTTTATTTGAATATGTGATTGCTCAAGATATCAGTTTCCCGCCTTATGCAGAAATTATTGATAATATACAATATATAGTTAGTTTAATAGAACCAATTACTTATTGTATTGAATTACAAATAGATGAAAATCGGGAAAATCTCATGGTTTGGCATAGAGCTGTCAAAACGCCAGCCCAGCCCTCGTGTGCTTTTAAATTTGGTGTGCTAGGATGGGCCGCCCGCCATATAAATGAGTCTTAAAATGGCTAGCCCAACCTAGCCCTAAGAGGGTCGCGGGCTAGGGCGGACCGATCCTTCAATTGTTTTTTAGAAAAAAGAATTTCTTTAAATTCTTAAATATTTTTTCGTGACATAATCGATTAATCATGTACACAACTTTTGTTTGCTTAGAACGTATAAAAAACTTGATATTTGACGAGGAATCTCGTAACTGAAATGTAAATTTTTTACATCTCTAACTCTTCTTTTTTAAAATTACATGAATATTTTCTTAATACTTTTCTTTCATTTTTCTCAGATTCAGGGATTGCTTCAATAAGTTTATATGTTGAGGTTTTTAATTTAGGATTAACATTATTTGCTTATTTCATCATTATAGTCTATTAAAATTTTAAAATTCCTGAATTTTGTTAGTGGTCAATTTTTATTTTTTTGTGTATTTAAAATTGATCTTTTTCTATACTGAAGAGCAATTTAAATATTAATAATATATTAAAGTAATCCAAACTGATCATTGGCCACTTAAAGTAATATTTTTTTTTGAAAAAAGATTATTATTGACCACCTAAAACTTTTCGAATTCGTTATTAATTAGCCAAAAGAAAAACTAATTTTGTCATATTACATGCACGTCAAAAATCTAAATTCTAGTTGATATAGAAATGTAAATGAGCAATCTAGGGTTTGAGGAATGTGGATTATAGTTAATAGTTGTTACTTTTTTAAATATTAAATATTTAATAGTTAATTAATTTGAATTTAATTAATTTTTGGCCCATGGGCCGGCCCAGACCCAATCTCGATCAAGCCTCAAGGGCCAGCGGGTTGATTTGTGCCGGGCTTATAAGCTTAAGTTTTAAATGGACAAAAAAAATCCTAGCCCAACCCTACCCAAATAGTGGGCTGGGTTGGACTGGCCTCACGGGCCAAGCTTATTTTGACGGCTCTAGTTTGACATATGAATCTCTAAAGTAACAGCCAGGTTATCAATTACTTTTGACATATCTATCTAAATATAAGATACCTGAAAGAAGAAGAAGAAAAGATAAACCTTATTGTAAATGGTGATATGTTTGAGACACCAAAATTAAGATATGCGCTTTGCTTTGTTGGATAAGTTAATTATCTATGCTATATTTACTATTTCTTGGGCAAAAACTTACCCACTTGGAAGTGTTTATACCAAACAAATATATACCTAATATGTGTCTTGCAAATAAACTTCAAGCACTCAACCATAGTAAATTTACGCTATTTCTTGAGTCTAAAACCCTCAACCGTTGTATTCTTGGTCTCTTAAATCAATGATCACATTTAAATCTGTCCCGAGGCTCCTGGCTGAATTCCACACATGGCGCCAAATTGGCCCCTATTGCAACTTTTTAATCTTATTTTGAAGTCGATCATTTTCTATTTCCTTTATTTTGCATGAGGCTAAGATGGTTCGGATATGTTAAAAGGAAGTGCACAAATACCCCAGTCAGGAGGTGTGAGAGGTTGTCCTTGAGGGTTAAGAGGAAGGATAGAGGTAGGCCAAAGAAGTCTTGGGGAGAAGTGCTCAGGCGGGACATGGCGCAACTTGAACTAACCAAGGATATGACCCTTGATAGGAGAGTCCGAAGGTTGACAATTAGGGTAGAAGGTTAGTAGGTAGTCGAACGTTTCTTTTTGTCTTCCTTAGTTCAATAGTATTAGTGTTAGTATGGTATATGTTTTATCCTAAGCTTGCTATTACCATTTATCTTGTACTGTTATTACTTGCCATCAGTACTCCCTTAGTTTGCTATCAATACATATCTTGTATTGTTATTACTTGTTATCAATACTTCTTTCATATTTTCTTTTGCTATCTTGGATTTAGTTTTCTAATATCCTGTATTGCTATTTCTTGCTATCAGTGCTTCTTTCATCTTTTCTTTAACCGAGGGTCTATCGAAAACAGTCAAGCTCTTCCAGGGTAAGGGTAAGACTGTGTACATCATACCATTCCCAAACCCCATTAAGATGCTACTTTGAAATAATTTTAATAATAGCATAGAAATTATTATTTTAATTAGTTGTTATAAAATCAGAAAACTACCTGTCGTGATCTAAATAAACTGGCTCTTATTATTAGACACAATGCAAGCTAATCATTCCTTGAGTAATGACGTATCAAGTTTCCCTTTATTCTTCGAAGAATAAAAAAGGACTGTATTACAACTATCTCCAACTAGATAGTTGTCTCATGTTTTTTTTTCCTTAAAGTTTTCCTGTTCATTATTATATTAGAAATTTTGTAATTTAAATTTTATATTAGATTTAATATTTCGAAATTGTACAATAATTTCTAAAAAATTGATTGAATAGTAAGCTCAACAAATATATCTTTTGGAACAATAATCAAAAGTAAATCTGAGCTGAAAAACTACATCCAAACTTTTATCTCAATTAATAATCAAGAAACACAAAATTTAAAGACTAACAATTCTTGATATTTTTAGAATTACTAATGATATTAAACTTTCACCTTCTGCGACGAAAATGTTTTTACTCAGCAATTGAATCAGTAAGAGTGTGATTTAGATGTATTAACAAAGGCAAAGATAAATTAGGGATCAGTTCCCTCTTCAGCTGCACTTTCATGTCGTAGCGAATAAAGCCAAAAAAGTAAAACAGGAAGAGCTAACTAAGACTCTAAGAGTCCGTTTGGACATAAAAAAAAAATTCTCTTTTTTTTAAAAAAAAAATCATTTTTTTTTACTAAATCATCGTTTATTTATAAAATTTTCAGTTTTTACTTGAAAATACATTTTGAAAATTTTGAAAATTTTAAAAACTCCAAAAAAATTGTTTTTCAAAAATTTTCACTCAAATCACTCACAAAACTTTAAAAACAACCCAAAATTATATTTATATACAAACACAACTCTAAATTTTAAATACTATTTTCAATTGAAATTTTTTTTTCCCTATTTTAGAATTTTACAATTCTTATGTTCAAACGCTCACTAAGTCGTGATAAGAATGTCAAAAGAATTGGGGATAAAAGGTAGCATGAGATAGTAAAAACTAAAAAGCCAAAAATAAAGGTTTTTTCTAAATGCAGCCACAGAAATATCGCGAGATATTGTCGGTGTCTCTATGTCCATTATAATTCGGGCGATACGAAGATTGTTGTACGGCCATCTCACGGCGCCACGTGTGACGTTAATGTGGCTCGATCTTTGACATGTCTGACTGGACTTTTATTGAAATGGGCCCTAACCGATAACAATTTAGCTGGCTCTCATTTATTGGTTGTATTTCCATATTTGCCGTGGTTCTCAATTCATAAAACTCTGTTCTAACATGCCGAGGAGGAATCTGGTGTACCCGGTTTCATACTCCAATGGTTGCTCTTGCTCCCCCTTTTATCTTTCCTCTCACTGTTTTGTTTCTATTGATTATTCATTTATTTTTAAGTATATATAAATGTTTTATTTTTATCCTGTCCCCTGCACATTGAAAAAGATTGACACCCAATGGCTTAATTTGGCAGTAAAATGTCCAATCAAAGCTTTGATCAAGTTTCAATTCGTCAATTTGTTTTGCAATAAACACGTTTGATTCATGTGAAGAGAAAAATATACTGATGAAAAATAATGATATTATTCTTTTAATACTGATTGGACATTTTTAATTGCTACATTTTACGTAATAAAAAAAGGTTTATATATTTAACTTATAACTAATTGCACAATACTTGGCTCTTTCTTATTCAAAGAGTTAAATTAGACTTACGATTTTATATGATTGATAAATATGATTGATTTTCACGACGAACAAATTGATCTAAGCATATTATACATTATATTACTCACATTATAGTGACATGATTCATAAGGGTTGTCATTTGTTCAAATGGTTTGTATATTAGGAGTTGATATGACATAATCAAACAAGATATCCTCCAACCAATTTAAAACCAAAAAATAAAAATAAAAATAAAAGTCAAATACACAATTTATTTAGTTTAGAAACTGAACCCAAAGGAGAATAAATATAAAAAAAATAACCATTGCTATGAAAAAAAGACTATATATTAGTGATACACGAAAGTAGAAAAAGAAAAAAACAAAACATAAAAAATACATAAAAGGGGAAATGGAAAAATAACAGGAAGAGAACTGTGGAAGTTGCCGCATGTGATAACCGCTATAACCACACCCCAAATCACTCCCCTAAACTCACCACGCGGTGCGTTTTCGTCTCTCTCTCTCTCTCTCTCTCTCTCTCCTCTTCACATTCACAATCTCTTTCCCTCCCTCTCTCGTCGCCCACCGACGGCGGCACCAGATTCCGGCGAACGTCACCGTCTCGCCGGAAAATATTCTCAAATATCCGCCACATTTCACATTCATTCTTTTTAATTTTTTTTCTTCCCTTAGAAAAGATAAAACTGAATAATCAGTTAGGGTTCGCTTCCGTTATCACTCAAAGATCGAACTTTTGATCGATTTTCCCTTACTATGCGAGAAATTTAGGGTTTCTGGTGCTGCTCCAAAAAATAACAGTCTTTTGAGATCTAATAATCCAAGTTTTCTTCACGTTTCTGAAGGATCAAATTCTGTCCTCTTTTCTCTTGCTGCTCGGATTTGATCCGCTCACGTAATCTGTTAAGCTTTTTAAAAAAAAATAAAATAAAAAATTCTTTCGTTTCTGAGTGATTTTGGATACTACATTATCAAAAAGGCGTGAACTTGTTCAGAGTAAATAGATAAGAATTTTGAGTAGAGGGGAGTTTGTATGGGTGGGATATGTGCAGAATAGAAGGGGAAAAGAGTGAATTGGAGGACAGAGAGGAGAGGAAGAAGATAATGGGTTTCAAAGCAGTGGCTTTAGGTGATAGTCGTGTGGAGAAACTGAAAAGTTCAATGATGTCACGATCTAGAATGAAGTTATGGATGATAAGGGCAACAACGTCGATACTGTTGTGGACCTGTGTGGTTCAATTGATGACTTTAGGGGAGACTTGGGGTCCTAGGGTTTTGAAAGGCTGGCCTTCTTGTTTTTCACAGGAGTCTGCTGCTTCATTTGTTGTCAATTCGTCGCCTGAGGTCCCTGCTAGAGTTCTTCCACCTAAGAGTGAGTAGCTTTTTAACATATTCTGTCACAGAGTAGAGCATGGATGAGCTATTTTTAGTGAAATTGTGAAATAACCGCTGGTTGTTACTTCATACATTGTGGTGACATGTAAAGAGTGTTTTCTGATCACCAGTCTTTTGTGGCATGGTGCTAATTATAAATTGAGATATTTGTAAAATATGTGGTAGAATTGTTTGAATATATTGCTTGTGAATCTTAGTTGAAGTCACGAAAGGTTTATGGTCCTATTTAGGCTGTTCTAGCTTTTTGTGCAACGCTAATGGTCCAAATAAAACAGCAAAGGAGCTTGTTGCTTTCTTGGATATTTATTTTCTCACGAGTATCCAAGTCCTGACTGTTGTCATAATTATTTTTGAATCCAGGGGTTTATAAAAATAATGGTTACCTTATGGTTTCATGCAATGGAGGGCTGAATCAAATGCGTTCTGCGGTGAGTGGCTTTACTTAAGATAAATATCAGTTTAGTGGCACGAGTTGATGTAATCCGATAAGAGTAATGGTTGTGAGTTTAGGTTTCTTTAATTCTCCCACTCATTCCTCTGTATTTGTTGTTGCAGATATGTGATATGGTTACTATTGCAAGATATTTGAATGTGACTCTCATAGTTCCTGAGCTGGATAAAACCTCATTTTGGGCTGATCCAAGGTGTGTCTCCTTGAGTATGTTGATTCTAATTATAGATTGGTTCCTTAAAAAACAAAGGGTAATGATCTGTGGTACACTAACAATACTGTTGAACTTGCAGTGAATTCCAAGATATTTTTGATGTTGATCATTTTATATCATCCTTGAGAGATGAAGTTCGAATATTGAGAGAGCTACCCCCAAGATTGAAGAGGAGAGTAGAGCTAGGAATGATTTACACCATGCCTCCTATCAGTTGGTCTGATATTTCTTACTACCAAAATCAGGTTTGTAGGGTTAGGCCATGCTTCTTTGATGGTGTTGTTAACTCACGTAATCTTCTGTGAGTAATAACTGTCACATTTGCTGATTACAGATTCTTCCCCTAATTCGGAAGTACAAAGTTGTTCACTTAAACAGAACCGACGCTCGGCTTGCCAATAATGGTCAACCCATGGAAATTCAAAAACTGCGTTGTCGAGTAAATTTTAGTGCCTTAAAATTCACCCCTCAGATAGAAGAGCTGGGCAGAAAGGTTGTTCGACTTCTCAGGCAAAAGGGTCCTTTTATGGTACTGCACCTGAGATACGAAATGGATATGCTGGCCTTCTCTGGCTGTTCTCAGGGATGTAATAAGGATGAGATTGACGAGTTGACAAGAATGAGGTAAACTTATATCCTTGTATTAAGTGGTGATCTTTAGTTGTCTTGTCACTCTTGGGCTGATTTAATCCTTTTGCAGATACGCTTATCCATGGTGGAAAGAAAAAATCATAAATTCAGATTTGAAAAGGAGAGATGGTCTCTGTCCGTTGACACCTGAAGAAACTGCCCTGACTTTAAGGGCATTGGACATTGATCCCAGCATACAAGTTTACATTGCCGCTGGAGAGATATATGGCGGAAAAAGGAGAATGGCTAGTCTTACAGCAGCTTATCCTAATCTGGTAGTTAGAAAGTGCAATCTAGTTTTTAAGCTGCTTGTGTTACCTGAATTTGTGGACTCACAGTTTAAGCTATTTTATGTTGAGCAGGTGAGGAAGGAGACACTACTTGAACCTTCTGACCTTATGTTCTTTCAAAATCACTCTTCTCAAATGGCTGCATTGGACTATCTTGTTTCATTGGAGAGTGATATCTTTGTTCCTACATATGATGGAAACATGGCCAAAGTTGTTGAAGGACATCGCAGGTATTTCCATCTGATGAACTTTTTTATATGCTCAAATGCTTAAGATAAATGATATCCTTTTGTTTTGCGTTACCTGGCATGCTTTTGATTGTTAGTACTGCCCAGTATGTATTCAGTACAATTTTAGCTACATATGGTGTCTTCTTATTGGTTTGCTGGTCTTAGTACATAGTAAAGATTTGGTTGCAGCGTTATCTGTTACTTCTTCTATATAAATCTCTACCATTCTATGCAGATATCTTGGGTACAGGAAAACGATCTTGTTGGATAGAAAGCTTCTAGTGGATTTGATAGACCAACATAATGCTGGATCATTGATATGGGATGAGTTTTCTAACTCAGTTAAGGAAGCTCATGCTGAACGTATGGGCAATCCTATGAAGAGGTTGGTTATTCCAGACCGACCCAAAGAAGAAGATTATTTCTACTCAAACCCATGGGAATGTTTAGGACCATCTAATGAGGATGAAACACTAAGTAGCAGCATTTAAATCGAGGTGGCGGTTACAGTTGGTGAAGAAAAGAAAACAGCCATGCAGTTGTGTGACAGATCTAGAGAAAATAGTTCTCTCAATACCTTGAGACAAGAGTGAGAAAGCAGGATTTTGCTTTGAAGTGGCTCTTGAAGTTCAGTGGGAGGTGCACTTCGACGGGCTGAGATGACTCGAGAGCATGCTGGAGAGTACATTGAAAAGTTTTTTACATAAATTAATAATCAAATTTCCTGTATAGAAGCTTCCTTGCCATTGCAGGGTTACATCAACTCTACGGCAGTGTACACAGAGGGGTGAAATATAGAATTTCTTTTACTTGGCAGTACGGACCCAACAATTTTAAGATTCCATCTCATACCTTAGTTTAGGCTTCATTCTTTTCTGCCTCAACGCTCCCTTACAAATTTTTTTTTCTCCTCGTTTGTGTTTCTAGTAGTATCTTTTACTACCATTTATCTCGTTTGCCAACTGCTCTTGTACGAATTTTTGTGCCCCCAGCATTATATTATAGATATAGTTACTTAGGCAGCTCTCTTATAGAGAATACCAACTTTTATTTGCTTCATTGATTACTGGTTTACGTGCTAAAAGAGTTGATGTGAGCAGAACGGTTCTTATGTAGATATTTTTAGATCATGTTTGTCCAAGCGTAAGTACTTTTTGGAAAATTTAAGGTGTTTTGGCCAAAATAAAAAAATACTTTTGGGCAGCAAATTCTAACTTCTTCCAATAAACAGAAGCAACAAATTAATTTGTTCAAGATAAAACTAACCTTACAATAAATTTATATTTTTTAAATTATCCCTCATTAATTTAATATTTTTCTTTTCCTTTTTCCTTTTTTCTTTTTTATTTCTACTATACATTTCTTCTTTTTTTATTGTAACTGTACTTTTATTCTCTTTCTCCTATTCCTAAGAATAGTTTTTATATTTATATTGAATGATGCCTTTTGACATAATTTAAATTAACATTTAAATAATAAGTAATACCAAACACTCAATGTTATTGCTTTGGAATAACTATAATTTAAATTAATTAGAATTTTAATTTATATTTTTAATTTACGTTTTATATTTTAACTGAATTATTTTCTAATAAATGTTTAAATTTAATTATCTTTTCTAAATAATACTAATAGAAAATTGAACCTTTATTGTCCTTTTTCGTAATTTTATAATTAAAAGTGCTTTTTTAGAAGATTGGCCAAAGACAATAGCCATTTACCCTAGACATTGAGTCTTATGTGAAAATTGTGTAATTGAAAACCATGTACGCGAGGTGACGAGTGCGTACTTGGTTTATATGTGTAAATTATATCGGTTGAAATTAAACCGCTATTTTCCAAAATTACTAATAAAAGTGAAGATAAGTAGTTTTTGGCAGCTTGGCCAAACAGGCTCTTAATTCTCATTTGGCCATAACATTTGGGAGCTTTTTTTTAAAACTTTATTTTTAAATATCTGTTTATTTATTTTTTGGCATATTTTGGAAACAAAATCTTTAAATCGCTAAAACAACTCTAGAGCAGTTTTTGAAATTTTCTACTCACAAAACTTCAAATTCTTTTCGAGTAAAAATGCATGTCCAAATGCAATTTTAATTTTCAAAAATTATTTTTTATTTTATTTTCAAAAATTTGTTTTTTCAAGTTTCAATGTCCAAACGCTACCTTAGAGTGCTTAAAGAGATAAACTTCAGTAATGATTTTTTGGCCCAAGAGGTTTTGGATGTATACGAAGAGACAGGGGGACAATTATATTTCCATGTATATGCGGTTGGTAAGATGTGACTAGTGGGGGAAGACGAGGCAAATTATTTTGTAGTCAATATTGGGTATATGTCATGTAAAATTGAAGGTTACACATACGTCTATCATTCCTGAAAGATACAATATATTTAAAAAATGAAAAGCATATGAAAGTGATTGCTTTCGGGCTTTCGGCACATTCTTCTGATGTAAGAGTATTTGATTAATATTCCGAACTATTAATCTAACCACTATTTTTAGTAGCATCAACCAACGAACTCAACTATAAGCCTCCAACAGCTTAGGGGAGCATAGGAAGTTAGTCTAGTGCATGCAGCTTCTTGAACTACAAATTAATTATACTGAAATATGTTACTTTTAGAGAAACTATTACTTTTAGACTATCCACGTATAAACTGTTAATATTATATACGGTCGAAATAGATTTCGGCATTCATATGTCTGATCGAGTTCGAAAGATAAGCGATCGAGGTGAGACTTCAAGATGGGTTCCGAATATGGTACAAACAAGCTTCGAATCCGAGGGGCCGATCAATGTCGAGTTCGATATCATTATCAAGCTCGAATCCAAATCAAACTATGATGCAAAGTAAAGCTATCAAGCTTACGATCCAGAGACCGACCAACATTGACTCCGAATCAATTCAAGGGTCCGAGTCAGAATCGAGCTTAAGCCAAGATCGAGAGCTCGAGTCAAAATCGAGCTCACGGACAAAAACCATTGCAATCCCACTAGAGGAGAGAATTTTGGTAGGAATTCACTACTAGAAATTCGCTAAAAACCGACCAAAAAAACGACCAACGTTGGTCGGTTATGGAAAATTACCGACCAAAACGCGACCATTTCGGTGTGGACGGTGTTTTGATGGTCGGAATGGCTTACCGACCAAAGTTGGTCGGAAATTACCGACCAACTTTGGTCGGTAGCTTAAACCGACCATCTGACAAGTTTAATTACTTACCGACCAACTTTGGTCGGAAATATATTTTATTACTTTAATTTTACCGACCAAAGTTGGTCGGTTTAACTAAATTATATTTTTTTATTAATTATTAAAATTAAAAAAAAACCGACCAACTTTGGTCGGTAATTAAAAATATATATTTTTTGAAAATAATTAAAATTAAACATTACCGACCAACTATGGTCGGTAATCTCAACAGTGCAAGCAAAATACCGACCAAAGTTGGTTGGTAATGTTGAATTCTGAGAATTCAATGTTCATTAACCGACCAACTTTGGTCGGTTTTTCTGGGTTTAATTTTGGCATAAAATGCCTGTTTTGACAGCTACATCACCTGCCAGCATACCAATACAACAGCACAACAACAACAACAACAACAACAACAACAACAACAACAACAACAACACAACAATAACAACAACAACAACAACAACAACAATAACAACAACAACAACAACAACAACAACAACAACAACAACAACAACAACAACAACAACAACAACAA